CCCCCCCCAAAAAGCAAAAAACGGTACGGAAGAAGAACGAACCCTTTCCAAATAAAGACGCGACGATCCAGAAAAGGATAAATGCCATAAACCGTTCATCCCTATTTCCCATCCTCCGTCCGGCTGCACTACTACACACGCTTTTTCAGATAAACTCACGAACCGAGTTCTGAAACGCGCCCCATCCCACCGGGGCTTGATTTCCTCTCTCTAGCCATGTCTTGGCGAGGCAAGGTGGACATGGGGGACCCCGCGGGGCATCGCTAATACTGGCTTGGAGCTTGTGATTCTACTGTAGGGAGTACAGTACTATCGTGAGGGGTTTGGCCTGTTGCGAGTTGAATGCCGGTGGGGTGGGATGAGATGAGATGAGATGAATGCCGTGTTGCTTGCTTGCTTGCTTGTTTGCTGGTATTGTATTGTTACTACCCGCCCCATCCTAGGACGAGTAACCTTATCTATTTTTCATTTCATGCGTCTGGTGTTTCTCGGTAGTTGGTTGTCTTGGCTGGGGTAGATAGCGTTGTTAAGAGGGCCAGAGGGGTGTGTTAGGGATGGGGACCTGGTGTATTGGTTGTGAGATGCGAATGGCATTCTCGATCGCGATCTGGGCTTTGGGGTGAGAGGAGATTGTTTGTTTTCTGACGAGGGGGTTTGGTTTGTTTTGGTTACTTGTACGGTCTCTTGTTTTGGGTTGCGGCATTGTTGGAGTTCCTACCGTGTGGATTTTGGCTTTTATATACCCCCTTTTTGGAGTTTTTGGTTTACCCTGTCCCTCGCTGGTACGAGCTTGCATTTGCATTTGCATCTTCTGGTTGTGGAACATAGGATTAGATTGGAAAGTCGTCCTATAACATATATAATACACACACATTTCAAGAAGATTCTCATTGGCTGTTGCTGTCGTCAAAGATACATTTGGTACCCATCCACCCATAACCTCTCATCTCGTCTGAATCATACGTGCATACAAGCCCCATCAACCTCAAACCCACGATCCCTCCCTCACTTCAATCTCTGTTCAACAGCCTTCCAGTTCACCACATCCCAAACCGCACCAAAGTACTCCGCCTTCCGATTCTGGTACTGCAAATAATACGCATGCTCCCACGTATCAATGCCCAGAAGAGGCGTGTATTTACCTACGACGGGGTCTTGGTTGGCGTATGTTCGGATCTCCACATGTCCCGTCTCGTTATTCTTCACTAGCCATGCCCATCCGCTACCTTGGATCCCGGCTAGTGCGCCGTTGAACTTGATCTTGAAGTCTTTAAAGGAGCCGTAGCTGGATTCGATGGCGCTCTGTTTTGTTTCATTAAATTAGTCCATGCCTTCTGGAATTTCCACAAATATCCTCCAAGCTAAAGTAGCTTGTTTGGTGTAGAGATGACTAAGTGGACTAAGGTGTGGAAGGTACCTTCAAACCACCCGCGGGCTCTCCACCCCCTCCATTCTTAATCGGCGCTAGGTTCTCCCAGAAGAGGGAGTGGTTGATGTGACCACCGCCGTGGAAGTTGAGGACTGGTTGCAAGGCGATGGCTGCTGCGATGTCGCCTTTGGCCTCGGCGGTTGCGAGCTGTTCCGAGGCCGTGTTGAAGCTGTTGACGTAGGTTTGGTGGTGGTTCTTATGATGTAATTCCATGATCTTGCCCGAGATGGCGGGCTCCAGTGCACCGTAGTCGTCTGTTTACATACCCGATTAGCTTCGAGAGTATGGAAGTTGGGTAATTGGTATGAGGGGACGGCATACATGGGAGATCTGGGAGGGTTGCTTTTCCACGGATGAAGCTGGTTGTAGCTGCTGAGACAGCTCTCTTGGAAGCTCCAGCTCGGAGAGCGGACTTTGCAGCAACGCTGGTGCGGAAGAGTGTTGTAGACATGACTATAGATTGGGATTGCGATTGAAAGATTCGCAATGGTTGTTGTGGACGAATTAGGGGTCGACTTGATTCAGAAGAGGGGTTGATGCTGATGAATTGATCTGGAGCTATCCGCGTCAGAAATGCGGTTTCGGCTGCAGGGATAATGACGAAATACTTCCAGATTCATCGATCGCGATCTCAACGCGTTACCGTTAGTGTTACTGTATACCACAAGAAAACACGACATCAATCACCTCGATCAACTCCTACTTCATACAGGAAGGACCCCTCAACACCAGGCTCAGCTAGCCATCACAACCAAAAATGTCCTACTACGACATCGACTCCATCCTCACAGATGCCCAAGTAAACATCCCCCCTCCTCACCCCTCGCCCCACCACCACCAAACTAACAACCCCCCCAGAAAGTCCCCTGCACCTTCGAACTCGACGTGCCCTCCCTAGGCTACTTAGACAATAACCCAGGGCATACCCTAAAAACAAACACCCGCGTCGACCTCCCCCTCTGGCTGGCCGAAATGCTCGCCGTATCCGGCGCCTCCTCCACACCCCTCATCACGCTGGACCTGCCTCCCTGCCTCTCCCCACGCGTCACGAACGCCCTCAAGGCCGACGCAAAATCGGTCGATATCCGCGCCCTCGCGCAGCATTTCTACGGCCTGGGCGTGAGGATCCTCGAGCTGTTTGAGGAGGAGGAGGTGTGTGATGTGTTGATGGAGAGTTGGCGGGAGAGAGCGGCGGAGATTAGTGATCATGCGGGGAATGCGGGACAGGGTCAGAGGGGGGGAAANGGGGGGGGGGGGGGGGGAGGGGTGGGGAGTGATGGCGTGGAGTTTTTGAGGGGTTTGGATGAGGGGGAGAGGGCGCTTTTTAGGGCGCAGCATGAGGGGTCGAAGGGGGTTAGGGGGTGGATGGGGGAGTCGAAGAAGGGGTGATTTCCTTGTTTTTTTTTTCTTGATAGGGAGGATGGGAGAGGGTGCTGATGAAGATTTTGAGCTTGGGTGTTGTTGAGGAGGGAATAGGAGGATTGGAGTGCTGCATTATACCCGGAGGTTTGAAGGAACTTGGCTGTGTTACTTTGATAGAGGAAAAGAAAAGTGTCTAATTTCATTTCAAGAGGTCAAGAAGTAGACGACTCCCAAATGAAACTTGTCACCACTGATATTATAATAGCTTTTCAGACCACGCAAGCGAGTCTCCCTTTGAGGTTTCCATTACTTTCTCCAGACTTCATACAAGCACATGCTTGAATGACGAGTTGGGAATCAGATCTATATACCAAGCTTAGCAGATTAGTTAGAGAAAGGTGAGAAATAGCTAGCAGCTTGAGAGGGGTTTGATTGAAAAGTCATCCACATGATTTTCATATGATAGAAGCAGAGAGTGGAAGCATTAGCCATGTTGCCTTGCAAATATTCATGGATGTCTAACAACTTCAATAGATACTATGAAAACACTTCTTTTAGTGTGAAAACCCACCCTTCGTCAAAAGTAGTTGATGCTGTTTTGTATACTAAACCACCCACCTAGTTAACTTTTTCACTACAGAGCTACTACCTATGTGACACTTCACTAGTTCGCTAACGAAATTACCTAGTGAAGTAATGCCTGCGTCATAGGCGGTGAAATATTGTGATAGCAGATGGTGGCATGTAGTAGTAAGTACTTTGAGTTTCATTTTCATTGAGTTTGTATGAAAAGCTTTAACAAGAATGTAAGTTGTACATAGGTGGATTTCTGTGGATCTAGATGATATAGGTGGATCGTATGGTAGTTTGGTTATTTGCTGTATCCATAATGTATACCATCAATTAGTGTAACAAATCCAAAGATTTGATAGATATAGCAAATCGTCAAAAGAACTAGATATGCCTGAACAACTTCTGGCTGAGCGCCATGGAAGTATTGAAACTCGTACTATTCAAGGCAGAGCAGAGAAAGAAACAAGGGGTTGCCAGGTGAAGGCCTACATCTGTTTTCTCGCTTATCAACCGCTTGATCATTGGAGGCGAAAACCACTGCCAGACTAGCCAGGCCAAATTCACCCATCCGACCAGCCCTGCCCAACCAGAGCACCAACAGACTTCAGCTTTACTACTTGCTGCTCAAAGAAAAATTCGCAAACTTAAATTTTGATCTCTCTCCCCTCTCAACCTAAACCTTTACAACACCACCTCCAACCACTCAAACTCCAACCTCTTGACACAACCCAATATAGGTTCTGTCCACAACCATCAACATGGACAACCAGCAACCCAGCGGAACATGGCGATACAATTCTGTCCTTGGTGAGATGGAAGATGCGATCATCCGACTCGAAGACGATGAGCAAGCACCCGATCCTTGTCTCAAGAGCACCATCCGCGCAGAACACCTCACTCCCCTCGCCTTCTACCGATTCTACTACCTCCAATTGAATCAAGTTCAAACCACACATCCCTTCGCCTCAATTCACATGACGAAATACCTCACTGAGCGTCGCTTGTGGGAGAATTACTGTAAGTTGTCCTTTCATATTTTAATTTTGGGCGGTCGGAACGCGACCATGACATCTAAATTTCTTCGCAACAATGAAGTCGCGTCGCAGCAAAACTTATCTTTTGGGAAGTTGGGGAGCTAGTCAACAGAAAAAAATCATCGTCTTACAAAAGGGCATACACTGACTTCAAAAACAGTTGACAAAACCCAACACCCCTTCATCGGCCAAAACCCTCTCCCAGGCATTGAACTCCCAGTCCAACAACCCAGTTCATCAACCTCGCACCAAAGCAGCATCACCCTGTGACAGTTTTTGATTTAGTGAATAAGGGTTCGCTTAGCGAAGTTGCGGGTGTACCCTTCCGTAGATAGACAAATACCTAAGGAGTGCGAAGAGCGTCTCTCTTCCCTCCTTGCGAACAATCTATTCCTTGATCCCCACCATAACACACCCTTACTATCCCAGAATAGAACCGTATCATACGCCAGCAATTTGAAGATGGAAAGCAAGAGGGTATGAGAATCAAACGTAGCATGATGGCGAGCGAGTATTTGGAACTTAGAAGAGATATGCAGGGTCTGGTACAGCAAACGAGAGCTATGACGGATGAGGTGTTGCGGGAAACCAGACGTTTTTGAATTGTGAGGGTATCTTGAATGTAATGGTGAAAATACACTATTATCACTAGATACAGATATCATTCATTCAATCAATCACATTCACTGCTTACATAATTCACTTTTTGAGCGTAAAATTCAGTGAATTTCTAGAAAACAATGAATCTAAATAAGATACTTGGTTATTAATCTGTACTTACTACATGAAAAGTTATTGAACTAAACTGTTCGTATAATTGAAATATTTGTCTTAGTATACTTAGATTAATTAAAAGTAAGGAATAATAATTATTCTAAACTCTGGTTATTCTATATATAATTATTTTTGTTATCTAAGGCTTTTAGAATAATATTATTCTATAAAAGGTATATCTAGAGTCTTAATTAACTATCTTATTCTATAAAACTTTATTTTATAAAACTTTTAAGGAAAGTAAAATAATTATCTTAATATACCTATATTAATAAAAAGTAAGCGTTAGTAATTATTCTAAACTCTCTATAAATATTTTAGTTATATAAAGCTTTTTAGACTAATATAATTCTGAAACAGGTATATCTAGAGTTTTATCTAACTATCTCTTACTACAAAAAATTATTTTATTAAGCTTTTAGGAAAAGTAAAATAATTACCTAATTATACCTAGATTAATAAAACGTAATCGTTAGTAATTATTCTAAACTCTCTAGAACTATTTTAGTTATATTAGCCTTTTAGCATAATAACATTCTAAAAAAGGTATATCTAGAGTTTTACTTAAGTATCTTATACTATAAAATAGTTATTTTACTAAACTTATAGGAAAAGTAAAATAATTATCTTAGTATACCTAGATTAATAAAGCGTAATCGTTAATAATTATTCTAAATTTTCCATATAACTATTTTAGTTATATAAAACTTTTAGAATAAGGTAAGAATATATTACTCTATTAATTAATTATTAATTAACTAAATTATAACTAATTTAAATAAAATTAGATTAATAACTTCGGTAAGTTAAATAAACTAAAAGGCGTATAGTTAATCTAATTGATTAGAATAATAGTATATATCTTATATTACTACTTTTATACTTTAAGAATATATTAAGAGAATAATAAAGAGAGAAAATAAAAGTAGAGATATAAGAAATACTTGAATAACTTAATTTATAAAAAGTAAAGTTAGATTTAAAGGTCTTTAGATAATTAGTTATTTATACTAAGTCTTTTACTTCTTTTAAGTAGGTCTATGTCACGAATCACGTGCTCACGTGATACTTGTCATAATAAGAGGCGCAACCCTCGACAGGCACATTCAGGTTTCTTATAGCAAATAGGGATCGTTTGGGGTAGCTAAGCGATCCAGGGATTTCTCTTGTATGTAATCACGTGACTAAGACTGGACCGCCAGCTCGCCTAGCGATCTGGCTATCTGGACCGCCAGCTCGACAGGCGAGTTGACGGCCTAGGGAGAACGAAGGTTCTATATAAGACTGGCACGCACGTCTGCCATTAGATAGGAGCTTCGTGCTCAACTTAGTTATCAATCTTATCATATTAGTTTGACATCTTTGATACAAGTAACGAGTTCACTTCCAAGTGAACAACCCAACAGTCTTCTTCTTATCATAGCATACCAACCAGCGAACACCCAGCCAAGTTTAGTTAGCCAGTTTGAGTATTCGTTACAGTCTAGTATCGCTATGATATCCGAGTAAATATATCGGTAGTACGGACTACCTAAACAGGCTAGTCCTACCTATATTATAGTAGTATAACTTCTATACCTTTAACTCGGTATATATTAATAATAAGAATAGTCTAATACTAAGGTTTAGCCTTTTCCTATATTATATCTCTTATATTTAATAATAAGTTAAACTAATAAACTTCCTTAAAAAAGAAAATATTTTAATTATACTTTAAAATAAAGAAAAGGATTATATTATTTATTCTTTAAATAATTAGTTTTATTATTTAGAATTTTAAGAGAAGTATAATAAATATTAAAACTTTCAATAAAATAATATTATTATTTTATTTTATAATTTAAATTCTATTTAAATTTTCTTAACTATTTAATAAAATATAAATTATTATAACTTAATTAAAGAAACTATTCAATATACTTTTATTTATATTTTTAGTTTTTTAATTATTCTTCTAATTTTTAAAAAAACTAAATCTTTAATTAAAGATTTAATTTAAATAAATAAAATAATGATTTTAATAAAAGATTTTAATAAAAGAAGTTTAATATACATAAGAAAATAATTCTATAAATAAAAGATTAAATTATCTTATTATAATGATATCTTTTAAATATAAATATTATTTTAACTTTCTTAAAGAATCAAATCTATAAATATATATCTAACTTAAATAATAAAACTTATGATCTCTAGTAATAATATTTATAATAAAACTTATTATCTCTAGTAATAATATTTACAATAAAACTTTTCTATTAATATAAGAAAAGAATTCTATAAACAAACTATAAGATTATTTTATTAATAATATTATCTTAATAAATATATATTTATTTTTGTTTCTAAAGTCTTTTAGAATCTTTAGTAAGTTTAATTAATTTTAATTATTTAAGTTAATTAGTTATTCTAGTTATTCTAGTTCTTCTACTTCTTCTACTTCTTCTACTTCTTCTACTTCTTATATTTCACGAACCGAGCCCCTCTAATATTTATACCTCCTAAGAACTAGTAGTATATCTTAGTATCTAATCTTGTCTTTAAAACAATCCTAAAATATCGTCCTTACTATTCCTAAAACGAGGTATCTGAAGTCTTACTTGCGCTTTCGCTTCCTAAACCCTCCGATCTTAGTAACCTAAACACGAGCGTGAATTACACCCTTTTTATCCCGGTAGAAGGAGTAGAAAAACTCTTCTCCTCACGTTTAAATTTCAACTTCACGATATTAGAAGAGTAGTTTAGGAGACCGGCTAGATAATCTTGAAACATTAATAGAGCTTTTTAGAATCCTTACTTAGTATAATAACAAGTCTGTTAAATACAGGTATAACAACCCGTTTTGGTACAACCAGTGGAAACAAATAAGCAAGAGTAATCGAACGAGTATAGATAGAACAAAATTGAAATACAGACTACTAACCTCGTATATTATCCAATTCCCCATCTGCAGTACCTGCGAGTCTAGAGAGCCTTTGGTGTTTTAAGTTGCTTTCGAAGTCCCATCTACTTAGTCTCACGGTGTACACTTTATTATTACGGAGAAAATAAGTACCGTGAGAACCTTGACCAGCGTATAAAATCAAGTTATTAAGTTGAGTTAAGAAATCGCTCCTTATTTAACACAACTCGACTTAAGTGGTCAAAATAGCTATTCAACTCACCTTGCTAAGTAAGTAAGTTGCTTGAGTTCCAATATAGCATTAGCCCTCAGCTTCCACCCCTTCAATTCAGGTGGAAAGAATGTAAGAAACATAATAACAGACTCTGGCATCTTTAAGCAGATAAACACCCCCCCCTCCCTGGACTTTCCAAAAGTAAGAGTCCAAGACAGAAAGAAGCATAGAACGACATGAAACCACTTTCTACCAATCACTAGCGTAACATTCACTCTCTTATCACCCGACTTTCAATCTGTAATCTTTACTAGAACAAGAAACAGAATAATCAGAACACAAGAAGAATCGCTTAGGCATCACTCAGCGCAGTCGTTTTTCATTCTGTAGGGAGAGGTGGTGTTATTTCCTTTCTATAATTCGGTCTTGTACTTTCATTTGCCTCAAATAATTCTGAAGCGAGGCTATCTCTCAAGGCTTGAGTTTGTCTAGCTTCATATGTGCGTAGTAAGGAATCAGACTCAAAGGCTTTTGATCAGAATCCTGGGTATGAAGTTCGTTATATAAGGGGTTTTAGAGGGAGTTCGAAAGCTTGGATGTCGATGTAGACATGGACTGGACTTTAATTTATATTCGATCGGCTTCCTTGAATCTTGGATCTTAAAAAAATACAGGGGGGGGATATCTGCTAGCTCACGGGGTAGGTATCATGTATGAGGTTTAAGAGGGAGAATTGGGACAATTTTTGTAAAATGTAGGAGAAGGGGTCGGACGGATTTATATCCCCATGGTTCTCGCGTCCAACGGTACCGTCCTTAAGAGTAGTAGGTTACAAGCACTAACGAAACATCGGATGGTTATCTTGGGAGGAGAGAAGAATTAACACCCTTCCGAAGGTGACGATACCTTTTATCAGGTCAATTGATTCAAACCTGTATACAGCGTACTAGAGGTCGTTACATCACCCATCCCAATGATCTAGTGAACTCATCTTCATACACTTCAAAAAAGGTAAGGTAGGTTCATTACCTTATAATTTAACATTCCGTGATAAAGAAGTATACACTGTATTATGTTATCAACTGCCGTAAATAGAAAACTCTTCAGAGGCTAGTACTATAAAGGCAACTTAACCAGTTTATAAAATCATAAGACTTACAGTAGCGTTTCCTTACGCCGTAAGATACCAAGGTTATTACTTTAGTCTTTTGATTTCCATATCCTTATATAATAAGGATAAGAAAATTTCTCCCCTCTCCTGATAGGGTCTTTAAAGTTTGTAAAATTACCGAGTTGTAGTAGCTTCTTGTTGTGCTGGTATGTTATGGAAATTTTAGGGAGGTGAGGTGTTGGGACTCTGCTAGAGATTAAGAGAGCTTGGGGGGGAGTGTTAGTCTTATTTGATGGTGAAGGTAAGATGGTAAGATGGTAAGACGGGAAAAGCCCTGAGAAGATGGAGTATAGATCTGAGATGAAGGATAAATAGGGACAGTTTGTTGATAAGGAAGACCTTTCTACTAACTAATCGTATAGCCATCATATTTTTGTTCGAGGCAAACGTTACAGAATCACAGGGATAAGGAGCCAAGGTTATTCATCCCTCGATCGAAACTTTTTGGCATTTGAGTTTGATTGTAGGTACCAATAATATACACAGACAACAAGGAAGCTCAGTAAAAGGAAATACAGTAGGAAGTTTCCTAAGTCATCAACCCACCCTTCCCCTGTCCATTCTCAGTATGATGATTCAAAAGCAACGATCGACGTCGCGCATCGAGGAACATCATGAATTGCGCATACGTCTCGGGTATGACTTTGATATCGCGTTTTACTTCGAAGGTGTAATCTGTGGTAGTAGTCAGTCTTGCACTATTTGGGGCGAGGAAGGAAGAAGGGAATTATCATGAAGAGGGAGGAGGGAGGAGGGAGAATGAAAGAAGAACAGAGAAAAGAGAAAAACATACTGAACACCCCCGTTCCTTTGGTTTCGCCATCGTGATCCATACTCTTGACTTTACTATCAACCCTAACCTGCACCCTCGTCATCCCCTCCCCACTCACTTTCTGCTCCTTCAATAATCTCCCTGTTTCACTTCCTTTCATTCCTGCCGCAAGGAGGGGCGAGTCCGTGTACGCTACTGTAGCCGTCAGATACAGAACCGAGCCTACAGGCACGGGATTCTCAAATGTCGACGGGTCGAGAGCGATGAATGTTGGACGGGTGTGAGACATGGAGGAGGCGCATGTGAATGCCAATTCAAACGTGGTTTTGAGGAGGAAACCACCGAAGATCATGAAGTTATGGCGGTTGCGACTTTTCTTATGTTACTTTGTGAAGGGGGGGTTTGGGGAAGAGGTTTAAACAAGGGGAGGAACTCACAATTGGGGCTGCATGATTTGAACACTTTGGATTTGGGTGCTGGCCATGCTTAAAGCGTTGTCTGGTCTCCTGGTATCGGTGTTTGGATCGTGCCAGCTTAGTTGTTGGAGCCAGAGGGCGTGGATGAGATCTGATTCTTCATCGTTGGGTGTTTGTTTTCTCAGAGCTAGTTTGGAGGCGGCTTTATTGAGGTTGTAGTTCTTTTCTCCTTCACTAAAGATAGTCTTTTCTTCTGCCGTGGTTGGGGTGAGCGGGGAGATCTGAACTGGTTTTTTGGTTTCTGGATCCAGAGAGACCTGGGGAGTTGTCAACCACTATTGCGTATCTTGAGTGAGAGTGTCAAGATTTAAATTTACCATGGTGAATGCACAGGTCAGGAGAATATCTTCCTCTTTTGATGTTTCTCCTTCTTTCGCTGCTTTGGCAACTTGTAAGGAGATTTCCAGACTACTTCTTCCTGTAGCAAATGTAACTCGACCACTAAGTTCCAAATCACAGATCTCACTCAAGGGACGTTGAAGCGTGATTCTATCAACAGCAGCAGTCACTGTCATAACGGAATCACCAGTGTGCTTATAAGCCACAACTCCAGCAAGAGCATCTAGGTCCATAAACAATGTACCCAGTCGAATGTGACCGGAAGCATTGATATACGAGTCCAGAAGCCACGGATCTCTGGCCAACGGCAATATCTTCCAGCCTGTCAGTTCTGGATCAAGAAATGCTTGTCATGTGACTCACAACACGATGATAGCTATCAGCCATCGTCTTTGGTGTCAATTCTCGAGGTTTCTTCTCAGCAGACGTTGAATTGGGGGTCTTCGTTTCATTCTGCTGTGCCCGTAACGCCTCAATGAAGGGCGTTCGCGTTCGCATGGCTGTAAGCTCCCCGTAGACGCCATCGGTGTGACATCGTGAACAGGATGCAAACGATCTTGTTTGATGTAGCCGTATAGGTCGGATAGTACCTCGGACACACGGTGTGAGGCGTGGAAGGCGTGGAAGTCGATTGGGCATGGTGTTGTAGATGAGCGTTCTGATGCCAAGGATGTATGTGATGTCAAAGAGATACGAAGGCCCTGACCAGATTATCGGTCCGCGGGGTTGCTATTGGCCAACAAAACGGGGATAATAGTCAAGAGCGATACGATCTACGAGTATAGAACACGAAATAAAGGACTTCCATATTTTAGATTGATCTAATAGGTAGTGTTAACCACGACCAATGATACCTAGGTACACATGCTCAACTACCTGTCAGGGAAAAGCGGCGGGGATTGAGAAAACAATAAGAACCGAGGAAACGACATCATCCCCACTACAGAGTCAATGGTAAAGCTTCACCGGGGTATTCCTAGACATCTGTACAGCTTTTCCAATGTAAAGTTGAAAACTCATCGACAATTTCACCTCCTCAAGGACGAAGAGTTCCATATCACCTGACGTTCTCGTGATCAACGTCCACTTCTTTGACAGGTCCAAAAATAGATTTGGGTGGAAAGACTTTTCTTTCATCTGGAAGATCGGAAGATCAACATGGAAGCAGGAAATCATAAAGTGACAGAAGACCAATTCTCGAGGACTTCCGAGTTTTGAGACTCGTGAGAAGGTAAAATTGTAAACACGGAACAATTGCTCTGGCCACTAGTTTCCTGTTGGCAGGCAACGGAATCCAGACGAGGTCCGACCTGATTGATACACCTGTCGCTTCATCAATCACAGTCTAGGTTTGAGCAACATGGCATGACATTCATCCATGATGACCCATCCCATCCCATTTGTTTGCCGCGGGGACCTCATACTGGTCAGGTATCCTCGGGGTCTTAGGGCCCCCTTGAATAAGTGGACAATTGACAACTGCGGTGATGGTGAATTTATTGTGAATGTTTATTCCTATAATTATCAATTCCAAGAGTTGAAAGGAGGGTTCCTGAAGATCCAATTTGGCTGCATCCGTAAGTGGCATTCCAGCCGTCATCAGATTGGCACAAGCTTTCTTGAGTCTCGAGGCCATGGTTGCGTTTGTCTCGAGGAGGCTGTGCAAGCGGGTATGGTGGTTGGAAACGGTGGTGCCCTGGAATGAAGAAATGAACTCCACAAGGCCATACGCCATGTGTTACAGCACTATCCTTTACATGCACAGTACCTGAGTACGCTCCGTACCCGCGGATCCGAATCTGAGGACTGGAGTGGAAGTGGAGATGGAGATGTTCAATGGTGACAACCATCGCCAATTGGCAAGTTGTGCGAGGAGCATCCTTTATCCTTTTGATGGGGTCATGGGTCGGCCAAGTCTTGGGCTACGCAGCCTACGCTAGGTGGGTGTTGAGATCTGAAGGAAACAACCTTGACCACGCCGGGATCAGGTATTGGCACCCGACGACGCTTGTCGCAACGCATTCTTGCGATGAACAATTTCAGCGATTGATGCGCAAATCTGTAGAGATGAAGTCATCTTTACGAATCGGCGGATGGAAATCGATGCCACAATGGTGTCTGAGTAAACATGTGGTATATGGTGGATTGTTCGGGGAAGTGGTGAGATGGAGATGGGAGTGAGAGATGAAGAATAAGCATAAAGTATGCGTAGATTGTCGTATTCCAATTCCAGCAGGATTCTCACCAGAAGCGGTTGCTTGCGAGGAGCTAGCAACTTCTATTTTGGAACCCACGCACGAAGTGAAGTCAAACATGTCAAGTAGAGTCGTCTCTCTCAAGTATTTACTTCTACAGCTGTGAGACAACAATTCAATCAAAGAGACCCAAGAACATTGGTCGCCGCGTAGACGAAGACAAGAGGCGTTCAGGCCAATTTCCAGTCGCCTCGGAGGGCTGTTGCTGTCGGTATTGGCTGACGAGGCAGTGCTGGGGAAGCGAGTAAGCCCAGCTGCTGATGACAGTCTTCAGGCCAATACGAAGCGGGAAATAGAGCCACGCAAGCCATTTATTACAGCCACACTGCATGCCGACCCTGCGAGGCTGGGCAGCGACACATCCGGCTGGTGCTCAGTGCTCGGTGCAGGTATTCCTTCAGTGAGTGTTGATGCGAACACTGCTGCGCTTAACGTCCGCCCCAGCGCTTCATACCCTAGCCCCAGCCTCAACCCAACCTCCAAAGCCCTCAAGCCCACCGCACTTGCCCTCGCCTAGCCATTACCTCCAGAACCCCGTACCAGCCTCCTTGCAGACGTGCAGTGTGCTTGTTCCTCGCCGTAGTCTATCCCCGTTACCCTTACCCCCCCAGTCACCCGCTTTCATCGCTCATCGCTCGGTTCACCCTGCCACACGCTAGCCAGCCACCCGCCCGCCCGCAAGTCCCTCGTCCGTTCCCTCTCCTTTCCAACCTCGCGCCCTGAACCTCCTGCATTCATCTCTTAACACCTCCAACACCACCACCCCCCATCAACAACTTCTCTCACCCCGTCTACGACGTCGTCGATATCTCTCTCGTTCTCGATTCGACCTCGACCTCGACCCTGGCCCTTTTTCTTCCCTTTCTCCTTCTCCGTTGCCTTCTTCTTCTGCCTCGCAGCATTCCTTCGTTTGTGAGCTGGAACCCACATCCTGTCTGCGAAATTCCTGGTTTCAGCGCCTCCTCGTTCGTCATTTCCGCGCTGCCAGCTTTTTTGGACACGATACTCGACTTCCATTGCCATCACGACCCTCCTCAACATCACATCTCTCACTCCACCCCACTGCGCATTGTAATTCCATCGTGAACGTGAACGGACGATACATTAGGAGGGAAAAAGGACAAGACGACAACAAAGTCTTGGTTCTACTTGGATCGGCACGACCGGGAAAAATACCACTTATAGCCTCGCCACCACGACGGCCCTCGTCGACACAACCTCACAAACATGCGAACCTCAATACTGTCACCTGTCGTCTTCGCGACATCTTTCCTTTCTTTATTCTCGGACGCGTCTGCCATCCGCTTAATTGAATCCAAATCCCTTAACTCCTGCCAGTCTAATTCCAGCTTCACTGCAAGTTTATTCAATGTCGTATTCACACCAGATAACAGAACACTCACATTCGATATCGTCGGTGTCTCCTCAATTCAAGGCAATGTTACATTTGGAATCGAGGTCGCCGCCTACGGGTTGTCCGTCGTCAACAAAATCCTCGACCCTTGCAGCATAAAGGACATGACTGGAATGTGCCCGATGGCCACGGGACAACTCGATATCAATTCCAACATCCAACTTGAGCAAAGTGTCATCAACCAGATTCCCGGTATTGCTTATGGTGTACCAGATCTAGATGCCAATGTCAAGATTCACATCAACTCCACCGCCAACCCACTCGTCAGTCTTGCATGCGTAGAAGCCAATTTGTCCAATGGCCAAACCGTCGACCAAAAGGGTGTGGGATGGACAACTGCTGTGATTGCAGGTTTGGCATTGGTAGCATCGGCCGTTACATCTGGTCTCGGCCACTCTAACACTGCTGCCCACGTTGCTGCTAATGCTCTTTCTCTCTTTGCGTATTTCCAGGCACAGGCAATCATTGGAATGACAGCTGTCTCTCTCCCACCAATTGTTCAATCCTGGACCCAGAACTTTGATTGGACTATGGGTATCATCGAGGTTGATTTCATGCAAAAGATCGCAACTTGGTATCAGAAGTCTACTGGAGGAACACCAGACACCCTTCTCAACACGCTTACCACAACTTCGGTTCAGGTTGAAAAACGTTCCGTTGGACAACTGGCTAAGAGAACCATGGACCAGACAATTACCTTGCTCACCCGTGCTCACGAGCTCCACACTCGTAGCAACAATGCAGGTACCGAAACTGTAACGGGAACTTACATCGTCAGAGGTATCAAACGTGTTGCATTCAGGGCTAACATTGAGGCCTCCAACATCTTCTTAACTGGTCTCGCCTTTTACTCCATTTTTATCGTTTTTACTATCATCTTCGTGGCCATGTTCAAGGGGTTTTGCGAAGTTGCGGTTAAGGCGAGATGGATGAAATCTGATAAGTTCCAAGATTTCCGAAACGGATGGTTCACAGTTCTCAAGGGCATCATGTTCCGTATGGTTTTGATTGGTTATCCGCAAATGACCATTCTCTGCTTGTGGGAATTCACAGAGGTTGACTCTCCAGCTGAGGTCGTTCTCGCGATTTTCTTCTTTTTTGGAATGACTGGAACTCTTGCATGGGCCGCCATGAAGGTTATCAGAATTGCAAAGCGATCAGTCGAGATGCACAAGAACCCTGCATATATCTTGTATTCTGACCCTGCAGCACTCAACAAATGGGGGTTCCTCTATGTCCAATTCAGAGCCACCGCCTACTACTTTATCCTCCCATTTTTGGTTTACATTCTCATCAAGGGAATGTTCATTGCATTTGGACAGAACGCCGGAACGGTTCAGGCTATTGCACTTCTCCTCATTGAAGCTGCTGCTTTGATTGGTGCCAGTGTTATTCGACCATGGATGGACAAGAGCACCAATAGTTTCAACATCGCCATTTGTGCAATCAACTTTATCAATACCATATTCCTTTTGGTATTTACCGAGGTTTTCAACCAGCCTGGCATAGTTACTGGCATCATGGGTGTCATCTTCTTCATCCTCAACGCAGCCTTTTCCTTGGTCCTCCTCATTCTCGTCTTGATCGCTACCGTCTATGCATTCATCCGAAAGAACCCAGACACCCGATACCAGCCAATGAGCGATGACCGTGCCTCTTTCGTTAAGTCGCAAACTCAGCTTACTACCGAGTTGGACGCCCTTGGAGCAACTGCCCGCGGAGACGGCAAAGGAGGTTACAAGCACAACCTGGACTTGGATGACGACAACGATTCATGGTCTTCGGACTCGATGAGAAACCCAGCAAATATGCCACTCCCACCATCTACAGCGAACTCTGGCGCAAATTACAGAGAACCTCCTCATTCTCCCATTGATCCGTCAGTACCACTTTTCCCTGCCGGTGCCAGAGGAACACCTCCCATCTACCAGGATAGATCGGCCAATGGCTCACCAGCGCCGCTGGCAGCCCCATATCGGGAAAATAATTCAAATTCTAACTTGTCTCAAAATTTTAGAGCGGCGAACAGTGCTAGTCCGGCAAGTTTCCAAACCCAAAACCGAGGCCAGAATAATGCTAGGTTAGTCCCTCATTCTCGAGATTCAAAAAAGAATAAATCTAACATTTTCATAGTCCATGGCAAAGGGGAGCTGGTTATGACCATTAATGAAAGGACTTAATAGGCGTTGTGCACTGTCGGGATATTGACCCTCGACAGATATTTGGGACTGGTGTTATTTGTTTTACTCTGCATCTCCCTCGCAGCGGTGTCGTCGAGACTCGGCAGCTGGCTGTGCGCGGAACGAGGTGTCTTATTCTTTCCTTTTTTCTATTGTTGCATCGGACAGGCGATTTGTTTGGATTAATTCCTGTACAAAGAAAACGAAGAAGGAAAGCGAGGGGGTAAAGAAACGGTCTTGACATGAAGGTTATTTTTTTGTCTCTACCGGAAAATTAAACAATACAGACATTGACTCGGACAGAACATCGGTTTTTGGGGGGGGGGTCCCGGTCATGCCAGGGGTAGTAAAGAGAAAGCGTTGGACGTACATGAATTCGACTTTCGTCTTTTTCTTCGCTGTGTTGGGGGTGGAATGGATACGAAGGGTATTTTGGGGGTTGTATGATACTTTTATAGATGGAGGTGGAGTGAGTAGCGTGGTTAGGGATTTTTATTTAACTCTGTCGTGTTTTTTTTGTTTTTTTTTTGGTTGTTGATTGATATAATGGCTCCCTCTCTCCGTCTTAGAATGTGAAATACATTTTATTTTAGTCTCGTGAAAGGTTATCCTTGTTGTTAGTGAATGTTTTTGTTCAAATGAACGACTGGTGTATGTAAGTTGTCATTGTTGTAGGATTCGGTCCCCTCTCATATTTTCTGATGAGGGATTCTGATTGTGTACTTGTGTGTATGTGACTTGAGTTGAGTCTAACACGTTTAGTGAGCGTGGGTTTACTTACGGTGGAATGTCGACGATGATAGGTAGAAAGTAGAGTATAATAGAATAAAGTGATAGTTCCCCTTCTAATGAGAGGGGCACAAGAACCTCTCTGTCGGTTATAGGTCGGGGATCATGCTATAGTAATGAATGAGTGAGTGATTGATTGACGAGAAGTTCTTGTGACTGATTGACTGATTAACTGACTAACTACTCCGCTACCATGTCGTACAGTACATCAGCAGCTGGGTCTGGTATGTTACGCCTTCTTTCTTGGGTTTTACGTGGTAGGTGGGGTGGGGTGGGAAGAGAATGTAGGGAAGGGGGGGTTCTNCATGTCGTACAGTACATCAGCAGCTGGGTCTGGTATGTTACGCCTTCTTTCTTGGGTTTTACGTGGTAGGTGGGGTGGGGTGGGAAGAGAATGTAGGGAAGGGGGGGTTCTTGTAGGTTAGGTTGGTTGGTTGGAGGTTTGGGTGAGCGGGGAGATTTGGGGACATGAATGTTGGGAGTTGGGTGTTGGGTGGATTGAGATTGAGAGGGAAGAAGAAGAGGGGAGGTAGTAGGGGGGGGAGGGGAAGGGGGGAGAGGGAGAGTAGTGTTGTTACCTGTTTTGAATTCTCGTGGGTGGTGGGGTGGTGGGGTGGTGTTGTGAGATAGTTTTTTGATGTTATACGTTGCTACTGTGATAGTATTATTCTTCCCTTCCTATACCTTATAGTCCTAACACAGAGACACTCCTTAAAGACTTTAAGGAAGTGGTTGATCGGTGGTCATTGGTGGGTTAATTTTCAATTCGGGAAGATGTCTAAGGGAGATAGGTAGGTAGGTACTGTAGGGACTGTAGGTGGGTGGATATATACATATAATTCTCCCTTGGGTATGTGTATATGTGTTTTTTTTTTTAAAAAAAAATGAAGGAAGGGGCTTTTAATGTAAGTATGCTTGTGAGTGGGAGTGTGATTGTGATTATGTGTGATACTTTGGTTGGTTGGTTGGGATTTTGGAGTTTTGGGGTGCTGTTGTGAGGGACCCGTGAGTAGGGGGGTTTCTTGGTGTACCTAGGCTTGGGTGTGATGGCTTTTTCGTGACTTTTTCTCTTTTTGGGGGGGCGTGTTTGTGAGGGGTGTGTGTAAGAGAGATTGGGTGGGATTGGGTGATAGTGATAGGAGAAGGAGGGTTTGTTTTGGATAATATCGTTGCTTATGCTTCTTTTCACTTTCTGTTGGTTTAGGGTTCTTTTGAAAAGATGTGCGTTTCTCTTTCGCTTTGGGTTCTCTGTCGTTTTAGTGAGAAGAAGGGCGAGGAGGGGTTCTTTTCTCTTTATGTTTTGACTTGGTGGATTACACGATGGATTTTAGGCGCTCTGGTTATAATAGGTGGGATATATAGTCATTGTGTATATATGACTAGACGCATGGATCTCGAGGAAGGTGTTGATACAGGGAAATATCTTGTTGGTGGATCTCCTGAATGGGTTTCTACGGTAGAAGTGTATGTGGTTGTTGTTGTTGAATGCTGTAGGAGTTGGAAGGGTTATTGAGAGTCAAAAACGGGTTTGTGGAGAGAGACAGACTGACTAATCTGGTGATTTGTTGGCTTGTTGGAATGGTGTGGTGTGGAGGTTGTGTGGGTTGTTTTAGATATTTAGGGGTTTATGGGTTTACGAATCTATGTTTTTTATGGTTGGGGTAGGCAAGAGGATGGTTCATTTACGTAGTTGCAGTGAATAGGATGAGTAAGGGGTTTTCATAAGTGATTGCGAATAAATTATTGAATATACTAATCAAAAGCATCAAATACCATATTAATTGGATTACAAAATAACATTCCTTGTTAAGATAATATGTGTATGTTATATATGGTTCTAAAAGTTCGTAGGATTAGTATCTTACAATTCTGACTAATCAGAGAGCTAGAATCTAAAATTAATACTTTTATATTAATCTGTTGGTTTAACTTTATTATTAAATATAAGGTGTAATACAGGAAGAGGCTAAACCTTAGTATTAGACTATTCTTATTGTTAATATATACCGAGTTAAAGGTATAGAAGTCGTACCGCCATAATATAGGTAGGACTAGCCTAGTTAGGTAGTCCGTGCTACCGAGTATATTCACTTAGATATTATAGTAATACTAGGCCTACTTTAAAAGAAGTAAAAGACTCGGTATAAATAACTAATTATCTAAAGTCCTTAACTAATCAAATCCGTTAATTTCTCCTTAAATATTAATTAAGTCTATTAATACCTTGTAATTCGTAAATCTATCTAAATCTACTAATTCTTTATATTATTGTTATTTTATCTTTTACTAATATCCTTATGTTTAACCTACTCTTCGACTATAATCTTAATCTTATTTATATTAATAAGCGTAACTAGTACTTAGTAGGGCTTTAATTTCGTGATTATATTAGTAAGATTTATAGTTCTCTTAATCTAAAGGATCTTATAGATTTACATTATTTATATACCTAGTATAATACTATTACGTTAATTATAAGACGCTTCTCCTTTATTATACTAAGTTTTATCAAGTATTTATATATTAACTTAGAATCTATATAAATTATTAATTTAAATATCTTACCTAGAATAGCCTCTAGCGTTAACTTAATAACCTCTACTATATTGAAACTACTACTTAAAGTATATAAATTAGATGCTAATATACTTTATATAATTTATTTATATTTTATAGAACTCTAGTATAAAATAACCGCGTTATTATCCTTATTTATTAGGTATAAAATATAGCCTATTTAGGAGGAAAGGTTAGTTAAATTTATAAAAGAAGTATTTATAAATAATATAAGCTTTAGTAAGTTAATATCTAAAGGTATATATATAAGTTTACGCTTTAGATTATCGATTAACTATTAAAGGGACTTATTTAATATATTAATATTACTCTTTTTAAGGTTTAGAGTTTATACTATGATACTTAAATCGAATACCGCCTTAGGTTAGTATACTATAGCTATATAAGCTCTTAGTACTTATTAAGTAATATATTAATCTTTTATAAAATAATCCTTATAAATAATACTATAAGTACTACTAATATTAGTAACTCTATCAGTTACTAATTCAACTTAATCTTTATAATCGTAGGTAAGTATAATAGTACTATCCTTTACTAGGGTAATCCTACTACTATTAAATTTTAAAGGTTTATTTAGAGTTAATTCTTTAGTAGACTTAGATTTAAATATAGTTAACTTTACCTTCTCCTTATCTATAAAGGTGGTATTACTATGGATAAGAGTATTATTAGTTTAAAGTCTAATTATACCCTAAAATCCTACCTTATTTATATAAAGTAAGTAAGAATTATAGGTCGATTACTATATATCTAGATTTTCTATAACTTATAGTATTTAATATATATATTATACTAGTAGTTACCTAATTGTCACAAATCACGTGCTAGCACGTGAGGAGTTAGTCCAGACGGGGTTCTGACAGGACAAACACATCATGGCTCTTATAGCAAAAAGGGATCGCTTAGGTTAGTTAAGCGATCCAGGAATTTCTTTGTATACAATTCACGTGATATATGCAGGTCGACTTCTCGCCTGGTCGAGAAGTCGATTATCGACTATGTCGACAGTCGACATTGTCGACTTCAGGAACACGAAGGTTCTATATAAGACTGGCACGTCTGCCATTAGATAGGAGCTTCGTGCTCAACTTAGTTATCAATCTTATCATATTAGTTTGACATCTTTGATACAAGTAACGAGTTCACTTCCAAGTGAACAACCCGATAGTCTTCTTCTTATCATAGCATACCAACCAGCGAACACCCAGCCAAGTTTAGTTAGCCAGTTTGAGTATTCGTTACACCTACTAGGTATCTCTTTTACCTATTCTATAAGTTCCTTAAGTATCTTATTTTATATTTTAGTAATAGTATATATTCTATCACCAGTGGGTGACAGAATTCGTGGGACAGCACAACTTCTAAATTACGTAATCAAGAACACCAAAAATGCTTAGATATCATACCTTAATAATACATACTCTTTAAACCGTTCAAATGGACACTAACACGCCTACTCACAGTAGAGAGGACACGCCAGATCGTCAAATACACCACCGCGAAGCTACTACTACCAAAAAGACCCGGTTTTACGAGGCCTGGGACGCCCGGCACGGCGCAGAAACACATAAGGCTATTGGGGCAGATTTGGGAGTAACCAGGTCTACGGCATCACGATGGCTCAAAGAGCGTACTCAAATAGGGTCTGCAGCATACCGGCGGACGCGGAAGAGGTCAAATATACTTGGGAGGCGTCGTCTTATCTCAAAAGAGAGTTGTTTACTCCTTGTCAACCCAGCCAAAAACCCCGTCCAAAACCAGCACTACGAAGCTCAAATGAAATACCACAAGATCAAGGGTTCCGCCCGCACTCTACAGCGCGCTTTGCTCAGGCATACAAACAAGGCCCGTCGCTATAAGGCTGCGTACGTAAAGAAGAAAACCTCGAATACAAACCGGCAGAAACGGACAGAATACGGGAGGAAGTGGCAGTACAAGACAGTTGAGAACCATTGGCGTAGGGTTCTCTGGACAGACGAGGCACATATTGATCCTACCTCTAACGTTCAAGACTTCTACCTCCGTGAGCAAGGGAAGCGTTATAAGCCCGAATATATACAGGAAAGGGGGGAGAAACGGGGCGTACGGCTACACATCGCAGGGTGGTGTAATTGGCATGCCAAATGCGAGAAACTCCAGTTCTACCACGACGAAGAGGATGAAGTTATTAAAGCTAGGAAGCCTAGGAAGCCTCGCAAAA